TGTGGTGAATGAATAACAGTTACTTATAGTAACATCTGTAGAGTACCCGCTGTGTGCCAGGTGCTGTTCTAAGCACTTTTTATGCATTATTAATTCATTTAATCTTTATAGCAACACTCTTGAGGTGGTTATGATAGTTATCTCCATCTTTTTAGATGAAGAAACTGAGATCCACAGAGTTCAAATAACGTATCCAAGGTCAGGGGCAAAGAGCTGGAAATAGGGGAGCTGGTATTCAAACCAAGGTCCCTGCATTCTAACTACCATGCTATTGTCAGGGCCCAGGACAGGTTGCCCCAAGATATCCCTCAATGGCATGTTGATAATTTTGAATAAAATCACCTAAGAAGCCGTAGGAGCAGGAGGAGCTCTCTGACTCCTCATTGCCCCACTAAAAGCAGGAAATAAATCTCCATGATAGGTGCCCTTCCTAATCCTGAAAGATCGAGACAAACTTATTGCAAGAGTTATAAAATCCAGAGTCAAAAAAGTGTGTACAAACTTTGTAATGCCTTTACTTACTACCCAAGCCCAAACTCTGTTTAGAGTCTTCATTAACCAGTACCCAAACCTTGCTTAGATTCGTTTCTAATGAGTACTAACTTTCCTTATTCTGTCAATTTCTCACAAATGCATTGTTTCTCTAAGAAGTATAAGAAAAGGCGTCTAATTCGATCATTTCTTTGAACTTCATTTTATGATCTGAGCATCACATCGTGATTCTCCTGTGCCCATGTATTAAATTGTTTTTTTTTTCCTCTTGTTAATCTAGTCTTGTGTCAATTTTATCATTTTATTAACTAGTTCAGCCACAAGAACAAAAGAAGGGTAGGGTGGGGGATTCTCTCCTGCTTCCCAACACTATACTTTCTCTCTAATATGTGAACACAGTAGAGCACAGTACAGGGTCTTGCTCCTTCTCCATACACAGTCAGGAAGGTAACAGGGATTACATGCCATAGGATGCAGTGAATGGCAGTTATTTGCTTAACAGACTGATACAGCAGATGCCAAAGACCCTCAAGCTCTACACGATGCACTCCTTATTTGCAGTCAGAGACTGTCTCCAAAAGTTTTCTGTGTATAAGGAAGAGCCCTATGCAATACAAATCATCCCTGCATATTGAAACAGAGTTAATTTAAATAACTCTCATGCATTTCATCTGTCTTTTTTTTTTAATTTTGGTTGCTGTTTACTTTTCAAAAAAAGTTTTATTGAGATGTAATTGACAAATAATAAGCTGTACATATTTAAAGTGTATGGTTTGTTAAATATATGCGTATACCCATGAAACTATCACCACAACTGAGATAAAGAACACATCCATAGTCCCCAGTTTCCTTCTGCTTTTCCCTCCCAGGACCCATCCTCACCCCCAGGCAACTACTCATCTCCTTTTCATTACTATAGATTAGTTTGCTTTTTATGGAATATTTTAAGTTATATTGCATGGTATATACTCTTTCTGTTTGTCTTCTTTTAGTCAGCATAATCATTTTGAGACTCATTCATCTTGCTGCACGCAGCGATGGTTCATTTCTTTATATTTCTGACTAGTAATCCATAAAAGAAAAAATCAATCAGGCAAAGATTTCTTAAGATTTATGGCTTTAGGTGTGATATCTTTGCCTAACCTAAGTTCACAAGATTTTTTCCTATGTTGTCTTCTAAAAGTTTTATAATAGTTGGTTGTACATTTAGGTTTACAATCCATTTGAATTAATTTTTGTGTATGAGGTGGGGTGTGGATTGAAGTTTACTTTTTTTTGCATATAGATATCCAATTGTTCCAGCATCATTGGTCAAAGACACTATCCTTTCTCCACTGAATTGCCTTTGTACTTTGAAATCACCTTTGTACTTTGTACTATGAAAATCAATTGATCATACACATGTGGATATATTTTTGGAATCTCCATTCTCATTTATTTCTCTATCTTTATAATATCTTTTTAAATTTATTTTTTCAATTACAGTTGACATACAATATTATTTTAGTTTCAAGTATACAACACAGTGATTAGACATTTTTATACCTTATGAAGTGATCACCCTCTAACATTGTTTTATTTTTTTAATAATTTTTTATTTTTCAATTACAGTTGACACACATTATTATATCAGTCTCAGGTGTCCAACAAAGTGATTAGACATTTATATAATATACTTCTAACACGTTATTTTAATGTACAAGTTTTCATGGTTGTCGATACTGCATCACTGGTAATCATTACATTTTAGAGAGGGCTTTCAGACTTGTTGTGCCTTTTTTTTTTTTATAGTAACAACAGTTAAGGTGAACCTTTTTCATAAGAAAATGTGCATGTACTACCTAATTTAACTTCTGCAAAAATTTCACGAGATGAGTATTACTAACTTATTCTTCAAATGAGGAAGTAGTCTCAGAGAGGTGAAGTCATTTGTGGCTGCAGAGTCATTAAGTGGCAGAATTATGATTTGAACCAGGTCTGTCCAATTCCAAAACCTGTGTTACGAATCACTTATAGTAAACAGAATAATGTCCCTTCCCCACCCTCCAAAGATGTCCATATCCTAATTCCTGACACCTGTGGATATGTTACCTTATATGACAAGAGGAACTTGCAGATGTGATTAAGTTAATGATCTTGAGATGGGGAGATTATTGGTCCCTGAGGTGGGCCCAGTGTAATCCCAAGGGTCCTTATAAGAGGAAGGCAGGTGGGTAGAGGTGAAGGAAGGAGGTGTTTCAGGGAGGCAGAGGTCAAAGAGAGAAAGATTAGAAGATGCTATGCTGATGGCTTTAAAGACAGAGGAAGGGGCTAAGAGTCAATGAATATGGGGGACCTTTAGCTAAAAAAGATAAGGAAACAGATTATCCATCCCTTCAGTGACTCCAGGAGGAAACAGCCCTGCTAAAATCTTGACTTAGCCCAGTAAAAGTAATTTCAGACTCCTATTTCCAAAACTGTAGGAAAACAAATTTGTGGTATTACAGTAGCAACAGGCAATCAATATACCACTGGTACTCTAATTTGTATTAAAATATGGCTTATAATTATAATTCGGTAAATTATTTAACTTTTGGAAGTCACAGCA